GGGGGGATCACCCCAGTGTGGGCAGGGGGTTGAGATTATAGGGGGGAAATCACCCCACTGTGGGCAGGGAGTTGATATTTGGGGGGGAATTGCCCCACTGTGGGCAGGGGGTTGAGATTATGAGGGGGAAATCACCCCACTGTGGGCAGGGAGATGGGATTATGGGGGCAAAATCACCCCAATGTCGATAGGGAAAATGGGATTATGGGGAAGAATCACCCTGGTGTGGGCAGGGGCCTGGGATTATGGGGGTAAAATCACCCCAATATCAGCAGGTAGATGGGATTATGGTGGGGAAATCACCCCACTGTGTGCAGGGAGCTGGGATTATGGGGGGAAAACCACCCTAGTGTGGGCAGAGGGTCCCCAATGACCCTTTTCTCCCCCACCCCAGGTCACCTCCCGCACCCTGTGGCACTTGTTACGGCGCCATCTCGGTGACACCCTCCTCACTCTGCGGCTCCGGGGGACTCTCCGTTTCGGCTCCAAACACCGACTCCTCTCCCCTCCTCTTCTCCTGGCTCTGGAGAAACGTTGTCCCCAACTCCACCTCCTGTCCCTGGCTGACACCGACCTCCGCCCCGTCCCCTCCGCCACCATCCCCGCGTCCCTCACCGCGCTGGAGCTGAGTCGTTGTGAAATCCCCCCCTCCTGGTTCTCTGATTCCCCCCCAAAACCATTTCCCCGTTTACACCACCTCGTAATCCACAACGTCCCGGCTTTTTCCGATCACCATCTGCTCAATATTTCCACCCTCAGCTCCTTGAAGACTCTGAGTTTATGTGGCACCTACCGCTTAACGGCGACGGGGATCCGGAGAGCGGCTCCTCGACTGGGAGAACTGGAGCGACTGGTCTTGCGCTGTCGCATCGGGAGTGACTCCGCTATCGACTCCGCTATCGACTCCATCAGCCGCCATATGAAGCGACTCCGGTTCCTGGAGCTGAGTGATGTGGATTTAACAGACTCTAATCTGGATTCTTTAACCAACCTGCAGCTCCTGGAGTCTCTCTGCCTCCGGCTCTGCCCTGGGGTCTCTCCCGGCGCCGTCATCGCTTTGTGCCAAGCGCTGCCCGACTTGAGGAACCTCCGATTAATCGGGGTTCGTTTGGAAGATGAAGTCGTGGATAAAATTCAAATGATTTTGCCTCGATGTAGCTTTTCACACGCTGCTTGACACAGCCGAGCTTTTACCATTTATTTCTATTCCTCAAGTGCTTTTTTTTGGGGTAAAAACTCTTTTCCTGGGTGCTGCTGCCCATATTTTTTTCAGGCATAATTATTTTTGGGTGCTACTCCCTGTATTTTTTCCACACATAATTATTTTTGGGTGCTACTCCCCATATTTTTTCCACACATAATTATTTTTGGGTGCTACTCTCCGTATTTTTTCCACACAGAATTATTTTTGGGTGCTACTCTCCGTATTTTTTCCACACATAATTATTTTTGGGTGCTACTCCCCATATTTTTTCCACACATAATTATTTTTGGGTGCTACTCCCCATATTTTTTCCACACATAATTATTTTTGGGTGCTACTCTCCGTATTTTTTCCACACAGAATTATTTTTGGGTGCTACTCCCCATATTTTTTCCACACATAATTATTGTTGGGGTGGAAACAGCAAATATATCCTATAAAAACACTTTGCCATGAACTTCTTTTTAGTAGGATCCTCCCCCTTTTCCATGGATTGGAGGAATTAATTTCTTAATTTCTAGCCCAAAACCCAAATTTTTGGGAACCCCAGTGATGAATTTCCTCGTCACCTTTCCTTGCCCCCATTTCCCACCTCCCTTTTCCTTGCCCCTGTTTCCCATCTCCCCTTCACTCACCCCCGTTTTCCTCGTCGCTCTTCCTCACCCACATTTCCCTCATCCCCTTTCCTTGTCCATGTTTCCCGCCTCCCTTTCCCTCGCCCCCATTTCCTGCCTCCCCTTCCCTCACCCCCATTTCCTGCCTTCCCTTCCCTCATCCATGTTTCCTCGTCGCCCCTTTATTGTCCACGTTTCCGTGTCACCTTTCTTCATCCACATTTCCTCTTAGCCCTTCCTCATCCGAGTTTTCCACCTCCCCTTTCCTCGCCCCCATTTCC